GGTGGACTAGACGGAAACTGGTCGCCGTTGAGGAGCGGGCGGCTGGATCGTTGACGAAGTCCGCCAGGAACTGGAGGATTAGCCGGATCGAACCAACGAGGGGCTGAGCGTAGTGGAGGACTGCGCCCCTCCTTCTTTGCCCAGCTAAGACAATTACAGACTTGCTTATTGACTTATCGTCAAGGACTGCCTGCACCTTCCTTCTCTTTTGATTATTTGTTTTTTAAATAAATTATTGTAACTTTTATGGGTCCGTTTTGAAACTGTCCACAATCCCTGCAGTTATTTATTTTGTACACCACTCGGGTGCCACAGTAAGATCCATTGAAATCCGAAGCAAAGAAAAAAGCTGGCATGTTAAGGGCTTGTTTGTATCTTCCATCACTTCCGTGTTGCAGCTAGTTTCAAACGTGCGCCTTCATTGTTCTTCTCTCTTTGCTGCTCCGTCTGTCCACTCGTCTGCCAATCAGTGAACAGCAGTGAAGCTTGCGTCACCCACCAAACCAGGACCTGCCCGGCTGGCCCGGCTCCGAACAGGATCCTAAAAAGCAGGGCCAGCCCCGTAGAAAAGCCGGTGGAAATGCTCGGAAAGCGAGCCGAGCCGGGCCGGGCCGGGCCGAGTCGAGCCGGTGGAAAAAGGGCATAATTTACCTATTATGATATTTTAAAATAAAATCAATCCTCTGGTACAAAAGAGAAAAAACTATTTTGTAAAATGAGGTGAGCCTTTTCTATAAATATGGAAAGATCGGTTGTATAGTTTGAAGCTAGTTACTTTTAAAAATCTGCTGCATATATTATATGCAGATATTCCATAAGAACTTTAAACCCCCCAGAATGACCATTTCTTGTTGCAGGCATGATCATAATAATTTCCTTTTTTGGTTTGTAAGAGCCACAGTAGGGCCGCAGGTTGCAGACTCCCAGCCTATTAATGCTGCCTGTGAACTTCCACTAGGCAGCAACATTTACAAGCTCAACTCTTTCTAGAAAAGTCAGGGTAAGAACTGTATATTATACTTAAACCAAAGTGTTCCACCATAGCAGTATGGGCTTTGCCTTTATGATGAAACTCAATATATTGTACAGGCTCACATATTGCAACTAGGCCTGTCACGATAAACGATAAATCAATTAATCGCACGATAAATTAAACCTATCGACCTAATTTTAATTATCGGCTTTATCGTCCCTTCCTGTCTTTTTTTCTTTCTGTTGATGACACTGAATGAAAAAAGGCTCAACTCCGGTGCTCTTCCTTAGTGTAATGTCCAGCGCACACTACATGAGTTGTTGGCGGACTGCCAGCCCATTTTCAAAACCTGACAGAAATCCTAGGTATAACGGTTCGATCGGGTTCGTAGTGCCTGTGGTGTCCAGCCACATGGGCGCAAAGTAATGGCTACAAGTCCAGTTAACTAATTTTAAGACCAGGCATTAATTTAATTAAATTTAATTTACTTAGACTGTCATATTTGGTTATAGTTGGGGGTAAGTAACTCGTAAGAAAAAGTTTTTTTTGAGTTACTAGTAAAGCATTGATTAATGCTTTACTAGAATTTGCATGTGGCTAGAGTCAGCGTAAAGTCCTGACTGAATGAAAATCATTATAACCTATTTATGGGGCAAAAACATCGTGTAGTATGAACTAGGTAGTCGGATGTGCCCATCTTCTCTATTTAATTCTGGTGATTACTGAAGGGCAATATAGTATACAGATTTCATATCTGCACTCTTTTGGTTGATTGCAGTATTTATTTCCACTTTGGCTTTATGTTGTTTAGCTTTTATTCAAGTACGTTTTTTGTTAATGGAGACTGAGAATCCATTTTATTTTTGTTTTTGGTTGTTTTATTTAGTTTATTAGTTCCAGTGTTATGTGTTCTTTTGAAAATAAAGTGTATCTATCTATGGCAGGAAATCACATGCATTATTAATCATTTCCATTAAATCAGTGTCAAAAGGTCTCAAAACAATACTATCATGTATCATAATTTTTTAGACAATTAATCGCTCTGCAAAATTTATCATGACAGACCTAATTGCAACTAGTGAAGATTAGCCATTATCATTATGAGATGGGATAGAGACAACCTCTCCCGTTCCTTCCTGCCATCATCAAATTATCTCTCATCTGTCCTCTTATGCTGCTTCTTGTTTGTGCCTCTCTGTCACAGTGCATTTTACTAATTAGTGCTCTGCTGGAAGGAGGTGGAGGAGCTTGATTTTTTTTTTCTCAGATTATCTATTTTATACTAAGAAATACGTAGAAAAACAAAACTTTGCAGCTTTAGCCTGAATACTTAATCCTGAACTTTAACAAGTTTCAATTAAAGAAAAAAACTACCAGCTTGAGATTCATGAAATCTTTTGTCATATTGTTGAAAAGTTTTGCATTTTAAATGCTTTTTTGGCATTGGAGCTGCCTGGGAGTGAAAGAGGTGCAATAACTGCAGCAAAGTCTCACCTTGGGAATCCTCTCGAAGCCCCACTAAAATTGAAGTTATTTCAACTTTTTCAATGTTAAATTTCCACAATGTGCATAAAAAATGTTGATAGAAACACAGCTAGTATTTGGAAGAATGGAATGGAGCAGACCCAGAGAAGGCAAGCTGTGGCCCAGCCCCGAGTTGGTTTATTGTCTGTTTTTTTTTTTAACTTTCAGATTAAATCATTGCCAGTTTATCCAAGATAAGTCAACTTTGCAGTCAAATGCATCCATATGTACAACTCATACAATCTGCTTTTATGTTTATTTTTAAATTTTAGTTTCATTCTCACTTTTTGCAATATTGTGCAAGCTGCGTCCAACACCCTTCTTTTTGTAAACAAGTTTGCTGAAAACATTTGTCTTATAATGAATAAATCAATCAGAACATATTTAATGCAGTTAGTTCACATTCCTTAAAACACCAAACATTTTTGTCCTGTTTCCATTATTGCAGCATCTTTTCATATTTTATTGAAATAAATGAACAGCAAACTAATGAACCACCTCTTCTTTAATAACACGTTACATTCAAGGCAAATGATGCATCCTGACCAATACACGTTTGGAAATGCAGTCATTAGCTCTCTTAAATAATTGTAAATCTTAAAGTCAGTGCACAACATTGATAAAGAACACTTAACAGTCAATGTATAACACAGTCTGCACACATTCTGCATCTCTGCACAGTACACACCTCCGATTAGTGCTGTTAGAACCAACAGAAAAATAGATCTGAAAATAAGTTATAGATTTATTTATTTATATATGTTCAGTCTGAATACAAATAATTGGGCTTTTGGTTAATTTGTATGTACAAGCAATATAGACTTTGATGGGGTTCCCAAACAACAGAAATTGCACAGTAGTTAAGAATTCAAGAACACTATTTCCAAAAAATATTTTACACACATAGTAAACAGTCAGTCTTCAAGATGCAGTATGAAATTGCACATTGTCATCATGCCAAAGAGGGGGCTGTTTCAAGGCTTTGGTACACAGTGTCCTGAATGGAAGAAGTTCTGCCACAGACGCCCGTTCCCACCCTCCCCCAACCTGAACCTCAGTCGCCACGAGGGAGAGGGAGCAGGCGCTGTGGCAAGGTACATCCACACCACCACCTGTTCTTGGGGTCAGACTAACATCAGAGAGCCAGATGACTACAGTACATTTCAGGGTTTGGGGAAGACTCTTGGCACTTGTATCACAGGTGGAGGTCCATGCTGGATGACCAGAAAAATGCAGCCATGTTGGACATGTTGAGAAGGGTCACACTGATGATGCAAAGAGGAAACTGTATCAACTGGCTCTGGAGCCAGAGCCAGAAAGAAATGTGCTCAAACTAGCCTTCTACAACACCAATCCACCAGATGCAGAGGAAATTACGCCTTCTCTGGACTTTTAAGATCTGAATCAGTAAAATGCAAAATGTTTGTTTTTGTTTTTTTTGGGGGGGGTGGGGAGGTTCATTTAGGCTGATTATCAAATTCCAACTGAACAATTGCAGCCACTATTTCCAGACAGGATTGTTGATGTAGCAATAATGGCATGGTGTCTTCAGATCAGAGCACGATTCTTCCCAGTTTAAAACTTAAAAGTGTAGAGTTCCTCTTCCTTTGAACTTCTGTTATTATGCTTCATTCATAATAACCAGACAATACAGCTTTTCTCCAAATATTTCTGACACTGACTGTTGTCCTTCTAAAGCAGCAACAAATTTGAAAAAAATGGAAAGACCAGAATTTAGAAGCGATGCTACAATGAATAGCTGTGTTGTTTTGTGCCTTAAAACAGCTGGTGTAGTTTTTTTTTTTTTTTTGCATACCCTTGTAAACCTGGTTAGTGGAGCAGGGCTGCAGCCTGACACAGCAGTGACTGGTTGAGAGGCGGAGTCAACCTGAACAGGTAGCAGGTCCATCACAGAGCCAGTTCAGGAACAACCACACACTCCCTCACACTGGAGGGCCAAGTAGTCCCCAAGTAACCTACCTCACATGCTGAAGGGATTATGGGAGGAAACGAGTATCTGAACTCAGAAAGTCATGTGAAAAGTAGACATTACATCTTGCCACTGGCACAATCCATGAAGACTCCAGGAAGTTGGAGAATGGTGGCACAGCATGTTTTTTTTAATGACTTACTGAGTGTACAAACTTATTCATGTGGGATTTTAATTGCGCTTCTTATTAATTGAAACGGCAATTGCACAATTGTGGGTTTTTTTTTTTACATTAGCAGAGTATTGACAAAAGTTTTGTGTAAATTTGTAATGGAAATGCAGGTTATAACAGACTGGGTGAATCATAAAATAATTTTTAAATCTGTTCTGATCAGCATGCAGGGGAAAACACAGTCTGGGGTCTTTCTGGGTGGAGCTTGCATGTCCTTCATGTGAATGCATGGTACTCCGACTTCCTTCCACAGTCCAAAAATATGACTGTTTAGTTAGTTAACTAAACAGTCAATATAGAGCAGTTGCTCTATATTGCCCTTTGGGATGGATGTGTGTTTGCTCTGTGTGTCTATGTTAACCTGCGATGAGCTGGTAACCTATCCAGGGCGGACCCCACCTCTTGACCAAAGACCGCTGAAGATAGGCACAACTGAACTCATCCAGACAGTTGTGGAAATTGTATCACTATGTTCATCCTAACTGATCCCCACCCCCTTTTAATGACCCACCAGAGAAATTAAGTCTGTGTGCTTTTCCCTTTATGGTTGTGCTGTTCTGGTTTGTTCCACACATGCTTCAGACACATAACGCCATGTGCAGGAAAACTGGCTGCAATTCATTCACTGCCGCTTCATGCCTCCGGCAAGTTGGATGCAGCCTTCATAAGCACCACTAAGGATACTCTAGGTGAAAAGTGCATCTAAGTACCTTGGGCTGTCAATAAAAGGCAACATTTGTGGTTACAATGAAAGAAACATTAAAAAGGTGGCGAACAGCTAAAAACACACATGCTTGTAGAAAACACTCGAGAAAAGGTAGTTGGCACAGTTCATTTGGTCACTGATGAAAGCATCTTCGTGGCAAAGTCTTCTGCTCCTCCAACAATGTTGTGTGTAAATGCTACCCTCTTGGGGCCTCCTGTGGTGCTGCACTGAGGAACATGTTAGGCAAATGGATGGCGCTTCAGTTTTCCTTACTGGCTTCCCGAATGAGGAGTTCCAGAGTCAGAGTCAGTAAAAGGAGGGGACTCTGGGAGAAGAGCCAGAAAGATGTGTGTGTTCTCATGCACACACTGGGGGGCTGAAGAATGCGTTCACAGTGTGATTTAACTCACTAGCATGCAGACAAATCCAAATGTCTGAACAGACACCATGGGCATTCCAGGTGAAGGAACATGTAAACAGAACGCAAGAGCCAAGCAGTCATGTGATGCTCCCCAACTTCCACTGGAACCCCCACTGGGACCTTTACTGGCAACCCGACTGGAGCTCCCTCTGGGACCCCCACGGGGACCTTCACTGGAACTTCCAATAGGATCTCCTTTGGGATCCCCACTGGGATTTTCATTTGGACCCCCATAGCCAGGTCTGGATGTGTGGAGGCCAGGAAACTGTCTCGAACACCAGGCTGCACACACTCCCAGTCCTCCCAGTTATCCCTTGTAGAGTTACTTGTTGTCCATCAGAGACTGGACTTTGTGCACCAGCTCACGTGCCATCCGCAAGATAAGCTGCACATCATGACGTTCTGCCATCTCTGCCGAAGAAGACACATGTAAACATCCTGTGCAGCTGGTTCAAGCAACAGCAGTTCCGACAACATCCCTACTGCACTCGAGAAACAATTTTGTCATGTTGTCATGTGACAGAAATTCCAATGTAATTTACGTGATAGACCAACATGGCGAAGTCAGAAATTATGAGGAAAAATGATATAGGGTTTTCCCAAATTGTTAACATTTAAAATATTAGAAAAGTGTGTTGGGTATTTATATTAAACCTGTTTAGAAAAAAAATGTCCAATGCCTTAAATCTGCAGTATGTAACTTTTATAAAAAGTATATTTTAGACATTTGTTGAAACTGTCACTGTCTCATTATGGTATGAGAAACATAATCTGTGAAAACCAATCGAGCTCCTCCACCTCATCCCAGTGCTAACTTGAGATACGCAATCAGAGCGAGGAGGCGGGTTTTACTGCTGTCAATCACTTCGTGTGGCACTGCTCACCGCCTCTCCCCTTCTGATTTGCTGCAGCTAGCAGAGACTGTTGCGAATGCTAAAGCTAGTTGGCATGAGCACCAATGATGGCTGATCAACGGTTTTCCTGTAATGGTAAGTTGTTTCTTCACCATCTGCACATTTAGCAGCATGTACATAAGGGTGATTGACCAACCAACTAAGACACTCCTCCTACTTCTGATTGGTTGTTTTCTGTCGGGACAGTGCATGTCTTCAGATGGAAATAGTAGAATCTGTCACAAAACATACTGTCATGACATAGTGACAGTCATATTGGTGGTTTGTGATATGGGTGACGTGGGCAACTGCCCAGGTCGGCACCTTGTAGGGAGGTGGCATGGGCCTTCAATACCCACTCCCTTACACCTGGAGGATGTGAATGGGACAGGGGAGGGACTGCCTAATGCAGTTCCTCCCCTGTCCCTCCAACAACTTCATGGAAGGGGTAGAGGGCACCGGAAAGGCGGTTCGGGACAAGACATCTGGTCAGAATGGATGGTCAGCTGCCAGCAAGATAATGACTCTAAACATACAGACATAGTTTCACTAGAAAGGCTCGGATCCAACTATGTTAATGCACTGTATCTGTGGCAAGACTTAAAGGGCTCTCCATCCAACCCAACTGAGATTATATGGTTTTGCAAAGAAAAGGTTAGGAATTATTTCAGTCTTTATACCTGCAGACATAGTAGTGACACACACCACATTACAAAACATGGTTCTATAAGGTATTAACTTATGCTCCAGGACTTACGAACTTATGACCTTCTCTGACTCTGTTAGTAGCAGACTGCTGCATCCTAACATTTTTCTGGTTATCAAAACAAACTCAATACGTGTTTACATCCATGCTGTACATCTTTTCTGTTTGCAGTTTTTTTATTGTCACTTATTGTAAATTTAATGCTCAAATAGACATGCATTTTATACATTTTTAAATTAACAGATTCAGCTGCACATTTCTCTGGACTTTGAGTGTGTTATTTTATATCTACACTGTAGCCTTTAAATGAGTTTTTTGACATTTGTCCAAAGAGTCTTGTACTCTTTGGACTCTATTAACAGGAATAAAAAACTATTCCCTGATGATAGAAATGTGAATAACATGTCGTACCATTAAAGAACTTGATGATGTCAGTGAAGTCCATGTTGTTGTCTATGATGATCTCACGGTACAGCGTAACCAGTGCCAGGGCCAGGAAGAGGACGAAGTGGCGAGATGAGATCCTGGGAGCCACCCAGATCACCTCCCAAACTGCAAAAACATCCTCATACAGAAGCTCTACACACACATGCACATGCACACACACATATATACATATATATTAAGGTTGGGCAATTGGGCAGATTCAACCCTTCCCTGGTTGCTTTTCTTAAGAGCAAATTATTATTATTTTTTTTTGCCTGATCGACTTAACTACCATAAGTCGTAGTCGTAGTTTCTTTGGGCTGCGTGCCAAAAGACGCAGCCCAAAGAAAAATACATTAAATTACCAGTGGTCCAGAAGAGTTCAGAAGGTAATGTCCAGGATCCGTATTTTTTGCCAAAATGTACATGCATACCTTTCAAATCAATCATTCAAATTTCTCTCTCAGACCGCAAACCAACTTTTATAGTCTTACTTTTATACTTTTATGGTCAGAGTTCATTTGCATTTACCATTGAGAGACATTTACATGCAAGGAACTCTGTATCCATCTTGGGCTGTCCACTGAAATACAAAAAGTAAAAGGTGCTTCTACTCAATACTAAGCAAAGAGTCTCAATACTTATGACAATGTAATATTTCAGTTTTTCTTTTTTACTAAATCTGCAAAAATTTCTACATTTCTGTTATTTTCTGTCAAGATGGGATGCTGAGTGTACATTCATAAGAAATAATATAAACTTTTTTGATTTTAGCAAATGGCTGCTATGACACAAAGAGTGAAACATTTAAAGGGGTCTGAGTACTTTCTATATCCACTGTATGTCTAAATTTCCTTCCTAATGATGACATATGCATACAGCAGATATTTATCTGCACAGGATAAAAACACAACCCTTTTTTCATACTGTCAGTTATAAAATACATAGTCATAAAACGTATTCCACTTTTGATGAATTAATTCACAACATCTTATATAAATGAAATAAAAACAAAAACAACGTGAGGGTTTATTTTAAGGGATTCTTAAAATAAACAGACCACTCTCTCGTGTGGCCTTTGATATCACAGTGCAGGTGGTGCAAGTGGCCCTCCTGAAGCTGTTCGGGAGAAGAGTCCACCTCATTGAGCTAAAGCATGCAGTGAGGTGGAGCCTTTACCTCGTTTGAAGTCCAGCAGGAACCAGCGGTAGCAGAAGTAGAAGTGTGTGTAGTCTCCATTCTGCTGCATCAGTTCAAACAGCTCAGAGTCCAGGATCTGACAGCAGGAGGGACAGCAGAGTTTACACAATGGATCCCATGGGAACACCAAAGTTAAAAGTTGCTTGACTACAAGCAACTTTATATTCAAAAGCTGCCAGCAACAGCCCCCGCCGTCTCAACATAAAAATAAATTTGAAGCTAGATAGTTTAGTAGGTTCAAAGACTTTATCTTTCTTCTTGACTTTATTGCCCTGAAGCCCCTCCTGAGGTTGGTCGGAATGTGAGGGGTTGTTGGTGATGCTGTGGGCTCTCCACAGGCAGCAGGTCCTGTAGATCTCCTCCAGATATGGAAGAGGGCAACCAAATTACAGCTGCTCTCTTCCAGCTTATTTTTGTATAGATCCAAAAAATAAATATGGCCAATATGGTTAGAATGGCCAATATTATGAGGGGCCGTTTAGGACAAAAACTGTTTTGTCTCTCACACACTACTAAAAACTCATACACACATACACAAAATATTAAAATTGCACACATGTCACACACATATACAATTTTTCTCCCACACGCATACACAAAATAGAAAAATTGCGCATATACACTACCAAAATATCACACACGCATACAATTTTTTTCTCTCTCACACACTGTGTGTTTATTTAGAACCGTTTCCCTGTGAGTCTCTGTGGTGTCCTGTCTCTTCCCCCTTCATTGTTTCCAGTGGTGGGAAGTAACGAAGTACAAGTACTTCGTTACTGTACTTAAGTACA